TTTATGCCTCTGTGCACATTCATCTGTGACTTGTATCATCTATCTTCTCAACTGTTAATGACCACTATACCGAGACCATCAACGTTTGAAAAATTGCTCATGCAGTATGATGTATCGGACCACAGAGAGTAAAGCCGTTACCTTACTGGAGCTCTCTCTGCTGGAAAAAAAAGAGCACTGCACACAAATAATAAAACAAAAGAAAAAAACCTGTGATTAATTCAGTCTGATTCCAGTCAGAAGCATCCTTGCACAGACAAAATACCAATTATTATAGGTTATTTGTCATGATACTCGTCACCTGAGGATCCTCTTGGGAATGAGTGGGGAGCGAAAAACATATCAAATAATGTCTTTACACCTGCTAAAATAATGTTCGATCTTTAGACAGTTACTGTTTAAGGTGCATTACACATGTTGGATATGTGGGAGGGTCTCTGCCTCTGTGCACTGGCCTTCATTAGGTGGGATAAGCAATGCCTTAAAGCAGCGTCACAGATAGCAGTAAGAGGTGTGAGAACAGCTCTATGTGTGTGTGTGTGTGTGTGTGGGTGTGTGTGCATGGATGGCTGGCCAGAAAGAAAGAACACTGTACCCCTGTGATAAAAACATAGGAAAGGACTAAGATGCCAGCTACATTCACAACAGATCCCTGTCAACACTTTTCAAGACCAGCACACACACAATAACACAGGCAACATCCAAACCACAGTGTCTAGCTGTACGATCAATACTGCTAGCAATTACAGAAAAATATACAAGTCTAAGAATTCCTTTTCGACTACAGTCAAATGGAATGAAGCCCATATCTTTTATAAACCTGACTCATTTTTGAGAAAATTTGCCTTACTTTGTTATTGAGCATAAAGCAGAAATACAACCAAAAATAAATCCTTATGGAGACTATTTTGTTCTTGCCAAGAGCTCAGCAGGAGAAGAATTCGTGTTGACAGCAGGGAGCTGCTTATTGCTGAGCAATGTTAGATATAAATACTTTTTCTATCTATTGCTGCTGGTAAAAAGCTCAGAGCTCACCAACTAGTTCTCTCGCTGGTTATTTCATAGAATTGGTTAGATTGAAATATAATTGCAATCATTTGCTAATAATAATATTTTCCTGTTAAACCCATAAATGCAAAACTTGTCAAGAGATAATTTGGCTTTCAACAAACTGTATGTTGTCACTTCCCACCTCAGTGGAAAGAACATTGTTAGGAAGAGAAAAGTGTTTCTGATTTTCACCTATTCTTACTGTCAGCCTGGCACAAGCACATTTTGGTTGTTCAGAAGTTTAAAGTTACTTTAGCATTGCCGTTATTACAAAATACTTTACATTAAAGCATCGGCTAAAACACTTATATGCTTGATTCTGAAAAAAATCCATACTATAAAGTTGGACCACACAATTATCTCCAAACTTCCAAAGCATTGAAAAACCTATCATGCCCAACTCACTCTGATTTTCTGATGCAAACACAAAAGAGCAAACAAGATACTGTGAAGTTATCACTTTATAACATCCTGTAATAGCAGCTGAATCCCAACAATACTAAAGATCTGAACCTGCTTGCTGTGGGGCTCTTAGATTATCACTGAAGACCAATATTTCTTTAGGCCCAATTTTTCACTGCTTGGCAAAACGAGCTGCGGTGGGAAATTAAATGCTTCAATTAATAATTTCCAATGATGGCCCAAATTGACATTAATGATTAACACAGGGTTTGTTCAGTGAGAGAAGGGGATTGTTTTGAGTTTCTTTGAAGACACACATCGAGAAAATTAAGAAACAGAACTGTTTGGTGGGTTCAAAACTTTAGAAAATATCAGCTGGTGTTAGCTTCTCATTAAATTTTGCCTCACAGAGCACAAAATGGATGTTTAATCAGTTTTAAAGCAAACTGAAATGTCTATTTGAAGCAGAGAAAGTACGACGACATACACACAGCAATGATAAACTGTTCTTCAAGCATTTTCTCCATCTTATCAAGATAGGTTTTCAAAATATACATGTTTGGTTGATTGGTCAGACTGAATTCTTTAAAGGGGTTGGTGTGAATATGTTTTCTCTAAGAGTACCTTCCCTATTACTTCACCATTTACAAGTTAGTGGGCTTTAGACAAAAGATGTGTATTATGATGATTCATAGAAGTATTCTTCTCAGCCACGGCATAAAAACGACAATTAGCCCCTGTTTTATCTTCTGAACACAGATTTCTGGTCTACAAACGCCACAGCTTAGATATTTTAAAATGTTAGTTATTATCAGATTTACTCCTACACGTGAAAAAGTCACACAGCAACACAAACAAGCCAAAAGAGGCGGCAGTAAGCGTGGGAAAGAAGGGCTGAATAAAGTGGCAGCAGGTTCGACTGGTACCATTGACAGCTAACAGATACGGTCTGATCAAATAACATGTCGCTTAAGAAAGGTCTCACCAGAGTGAAAGGTAATAAGATTATCTAAATGAAGTATTCAACTGCAACCATGGTAAAAGCTGTTAATATTTTAAGGATCAACGGTTAAGTATTTCCTTTTATGACTTCCAAAGCATTAAAAGCTTATTCTACCAATATGATCAAATTTAATGTAGATTCTTTCCTACAAAAGGGTAAAACATCAATATGTGAAGTCATATTTAAGTATAGCAGAAGTATTAGTATATTCTTAGAGCTTTAGTTGTTCCAGTGCCACAGACCCACATATTAGAGTTGATACAGAAATGGATATAATGTCTGATTACACGTAACACACATTAAGTCAGATAAAAACTTTGTGGTGATTCCTGCTTTCTCTTGTGTGAATATGGTCTAGCTCTTTTCCCATTAACATGCATGCTTGCTCTCAACCAAGACTTTCTATACATTCAAATATATTATTGTATTACTTTATTCAGGCCATCTTATACCCACGTTTACTTTTTTGCTGGTGTAATGCCTCAACTAGCACAAGCACCATAAACATACCACATAAACATATAATGTTATGGCTAACGTGTATATTATATATCTGTACGATGATTCATGCTGTCTATTGCGTATATCTGATGGATATGGGGGATACTTGCATTCCTGAGACTATTAAAATGCTTAATAACCCGTCCCCGTGGCTCCCATTAAATGTGGTTGTAAGACAATGGAGGTGTATTGATCTTCCCTGGCTGAAGCTTCTCACAGGAATAAAGAAGTAGAAAAAACAAACACTCGCACGTAGACACTGAACGCACGCACACAGACGACCATCTGTTACGGCTGTCAGCAGCCAGACCACCATCTTCCTTTGTAAATGGAGCAAAACGCAGAAAATAATAGACTAGAGGGAGAAGGGGAGAGTGGAGCAGCGAGCCGCTGCCCTGGGAGCTGACAGACACCGTTGGTTATCATTTTGTCTCTGGCTGAGTCACAGCCTTCCTTCACTGGGAGCCGTTGGGCTCTCTGTGACGCCCGTGGCACGCAGATGCGATTAAGCGTTTTAAGGTGCTGGTTGTCGATCAAATCCTGAATGTCATTACACGAGTGCCAGTTGGTGAGGGAGGCGCGGCGGTTGCCTGCTTTAATTAAATCCCGCAAAATGCGGGGGAGAGGATGTTAAGGTGATAGTGAGGACATCACGAAAAGGTGGAGACATATCTGACTGTTGAATCAGTGTGATAAAAAATGCACAAAGTCTGAGACATCAGAATACAAATTACCTCAATTTCCTTAGACTAATACAGCAGGAGGAAACTGACTTGGAATTAGTTTTGAGACTTAAAAATGTCACCCCCACAAGTTGTTTTCTTTTCTCCAAATCATAAGTTGTTTTTTCAAGTTTACTAAAAAAGGTTAGGCTATGCTAAAGTTGAGCATATGTTTAAAAATATTGTACTCATGTTTGGGGATTTCATTTTTCATAATGGTTATTTGTTTTTGAGGAGCTCAGTGACCACAAAATCCTTTCTTTATAAATATTGAAGCTATTTTTACCAATATTTCTCCATTGTATGATCTCTGTATGAAGTAGGAATGGCCTATGACTGTGTGCACCTCTTCAGAAGTATCTCAACCTCTCAGGCCTGAAACCATGACACTAAGCCTCATCAATAATAAAACTAACTGATTGCGACGTAGTATTTAGTAAGATACTTTCCTTATGAAATAGTGTAGCAAATAAACACAGCAAAATAAGTTTAGCTGGTGACAGCACATAATTCAGTGACACATTAACTTAACTTGTTTGGTAATACATTTCTTTCAATGAAATATTTAGGATCTAATTTGACTTCTGGAAAGATTCTTGTTGGTAAATTTATTGTTTGTTAGTTCAAACCAGAAATGGCTGGTAAAACACATTTTAAAAAATCAAAGTCAGGTCAGGAAAAACTTGCAAAGTTGCTTCAAGTCCCCCTCATGAACCTGAAGTTTTCTTCAATATATTTTTGAACCTGGTGCCACAGTAAAAATGTTAGTCGTTTATTAGTAGTTTTTTGATAAAAAAAAGAGCTTTCAATATTTCTTCTTAACAAATGTAAAAATAGAAATGAAAATGAATCTTGTTTATCAGTGACTTTAATCTAAACTAATTTTCTATTTTAAAAAAACACCTACTCCAAATATTTATACCAGTCTTGCACTGCTGGACAGATCTTTTGAGTAAAAATGATCTAATTGCTGTAATTGGGAGAAATGATTAAACCAAAACTCCTTTGAGAAGATTAGATTAGACAAATATCCTATTTCATACTGCATTTAATCTCTTGATTCAGAATAAATCCTCTCCTGCATCTTTATTGACATATCTATTAGGAATCCCAAATAAACAGCTTTTATCGTCTCCTCGTTAGTATAAAGGTGTAATGCGGGAGACCGGGGCTGGATTCCCTGACGGGTGACATGTACATTGTGTCTACTTTGTAAGTGGCTCTGGATAAAAGCAAAATGCATACATTTCACTTGCACCAGATAGATCAAAATCCTTCATAACAATGTTAAAGTAATGGGTTGGGTAAATTGTGTTGTACCTGTGGCTGATCTGAGTTCCCCGCAGGCTGGACATGGTTTCCTCCAGATTCTGCCGCAGGTCAGCGATGTTCTTCACCGTCCTCATGCGTCTCGTCTCAGGGTCCTCTCCTGCAGAAACACATTTTGTTTCATTAGTTGAGCTCTTTGGAGATCTGCACACGCAATACATATGGATACAGTCTAGTTATCCAGACTCATGGTCAAACACAAAATGTAAAAAGCCATGTGGACATCTGGCGCGCAGTATTTTACTGGATGTCACCGAACGTTTCAGCAGGGGAAGATAAAGATAATAAATCACGACGACAGCCAGTGCGGGTGAATGTCCCTAAACCTCCTGCTGACAATCAGGAACCCATGTAATAAATCTGTCAGGCTGAACTACATACATTTCTGCGACTTGAAAAAGTATGGATCACTTTGTGCAGCGTTTGGGCTCCAGGCTGATGCAGAAATGTCATGTCCTGACACCATATAATGTGTCAGTCAGTGCAGGACCCGGTTTTGCTTTCAAAAGCACCACTGTCAGAGTTCCTTTGCTTCTCTGACAGAGACTGGAAAACACTCCCGAGCACAGCAGATGGCAACAGGAGCCCCTCATAAATTTCAGGCCACTTTCATTGCCTGCGTTACAGATTAGTTGAAGGAGTCCAACTAATAGGCACATGGCAGACAACATTTCAGAGCAACAAGGAGAGGAGGCACACCAAAGTAGCTGCTTGTCTGATCCAATCAGGCCTTTCTGTTAGCTTGTCAAACTAGCTCATGTCTTGAGGCGGGTATCACGTTATGGCTAGTTAACAAGTGACATAGAATGGATTGAAGTCTCATCACTTTCATGGTTTTAAGGTAATTTCGGCAGTAAACTGTCTCGAAATGACAGAGATCCCAGCACATCTATAAAATGCAGTGTGATAGTTAGAGCACTGTAGGAGCTTTGCTCTGTGTGTGGATTTGAAGGGTCTGAGCTGAAATACTGATAGAATGTTAATGGGATTATGGTGTTGGGGTAAAAGGGGAAAAAATGTGATTAGCAGAAGACGTCATGGAAGGCCTCCAGTAGGTCGTGAGAAGGTACAGAGATGGAGGAGCAGGTTGAACAGTTGAATGTTTAGAAGGAATTTTAGTTTAGAAATACTTTGCAGCACCTAAAATAAGCTTAGTGGGTATATCAGTTTTCCTGGAGTACTACAGACACACAATGGTGCCTATAGTTTAGAAATGGCCACATTCTGTTTATCTGTCTACTGGTAGATAAACAGAACTATTTCATATCAGCATTACTATGTCCTAAAGGAATCTCTCTAATGATAATTTTGCTGTTATTGAGTCTACAGAGCCTTACAAAATTGAAGTGCTTAGTGGTAATAAGAAGAAAACTGCATCTCTGTAGTTTTCTCAAGAGATGAGGTGAAGACATAACTTAGTTGTTTAAGGGGTTGTTCCAGCAAATAACCCTTTTTTCAAATGCAAATCATAGGGGTGTTGTGCAGTATAATGGTTTGATAAATTATGGATTAAACATCTGAATCCTACACGAAAATATAAGGAGTAGTTCTGTGAACTAAATCTCGGGACAAATATGGCCATGTTTTATGACAGCCTAAAAAACAAAAACAAAAGTGTGTCTACTAACAGAAGAATGAAAAAGGATTGAACTCTGCACCACTAGGCAGGAAAAAGGAAATCTGGACACAACATCCGCAGTCACAAGTGTGAATTTGATTTTGCAAACTGACAGCAGTGTGCCCATTCTGATGTATGCTGTGTAACAATGTACAATGATAACAAGACTGGGTTATGTCATTGTTAAGACTCACACTCTGACCACTATGTCAGAGTGTGAGTCTTGAATTCACACAAATCACAGATCTAACACATATGAAAAGGTCAAGAAATGCAGGCCTGGAGGTAGAACCTGATGAAAAAGGTAACATTCACAGATCCCTGTCAAACATCCCACAGTTAAAATAAACACCTCTATGAACACCAGTGCCATGACTATTTCTGTGATCAAACCGTTTTTGGGTGTGGTATTCCACAACAGAGGGCATCAATGAGAGTGAAAAACAAACCAAAGGAGCCCTTTCTTCACAATTGGACTCTTTCACATGTCTCCACCTCCATCTTACCAGAGCCTCTTTGAGAGAGGTCCATCTTTAATCCAATAACCAAGTGACCGGAGGAGATCTGAGACCCCTGTCAGGAGCAGTTCATGCAGCACTGAACAGCAGCGTGAGGCATGTGTGTTCTTCATTAGCAATTATTTGGAGTACATTAACCACGCACCCAGTGGGCAGCAGCATCCCCTAGCTAATCCTCAAACTGCCCATATTAGGTAGTTTTGCATTAAAAACTATTATTGATCCTAAAAGTTTGCCCGTTATTTGCCTACTCATGATGAGTGAACAGGAGATGGGGATCCATGTAGGACCCAGTGCTATAGCTGCTTGCACACTTTTCTAATGGCTGTTTTCAATTTAGTATCCAACACAGTGATAAGCAGCAAAGCTTCCTTTGGATTCAAGTTCATGTCCAGATCTTGGCCTGGTACATTAAATGAGCAGCCAAACTGAAACCAGGCCAGTGTGTGTGTATGTATGTGTGTAGAACTGAAAAGGGCAGAGAGAGAGGGGAAAGGAACACGCATAGATCCTCGTTAACTCGCAAAGGTGCAAACACCCACGCACAGACACACACACACACACACACAGGGTGCTGAACCGTGCTGCTTGCAACAGAGTTGACACAACACAATTCAAACGGCTGCCATTTTCGGACAAATGCCTTTTTATACAGACTCCAGCCCAACACATCCTTACACACACACACTGCATAGTAATAGTCAACGCCTCAGCCCTCTTTCAATAATGCATGTAAGCTGGTACTGAAACCACTCGCTTCAGCTGAGTAATGTGGAGGTGCCACCCCAAGAGTTTCAGTTTAAAGAAACACATCCACTTGCGCAAACCCCGCGGACTGCGATTCATTATTAAGCATGACTGCACACAGGTGTCCTTATGAAAATGGATTGATTTTGCTTTGTGTGAACTGGCCAGATTTCTGTTGTGGCATTTTAGTGCAAATCAGCCTGGCTGCCACGGTCAGAAATCTCTCCCACAAACATTTTTTTTTGGGCAGAGTGTTTTCTTGCAGGTGTAGCAGCACACGGAGATCTTGGTAAAACATATAATCAACAACTGTTTCCTGCAGCAAAAAGGGCACGCTGCCACTGTGGCAGCTGGATACGCAGAAAGCCAGCTTTTACAGGGCAAAAACACTATTCAGACATACGAACAGCCTCCCAACTGACACACACATACGAATACGCAGAAAAACCAAACAAACCTGCAGCTCTGCAAACATCCAAACACTAATAAAAAAGTACCTGTGTGCATCACACACACCAAAGAGTGCTCCTCACACAAATGCAATAATGAGCTATCGATCACTCTGGCTGGAAGGGTGGAACAAATAATAAAGGCCTTGTTTTTTGGAAGAGAGGAAGCGTTGATGAATTCCACTTTCTGGATCTCAGAGCATGTCAATTTAGTGCTGCATCATGCCTCAACCTGCTTAAAAATAATCAACACTAATGCTCTCACTGCTAAATCCTATCCTATCAGTATATTGTGAGTAGTTTTTTTCAGCAGAATATTAGCCGTCATCTGTAATGTCACACATGCGCAAGATTTTGGTCCCTCACCACTCCCATATCCCTCAAAAACACGAGTGGTGGAAATGTGTATTAACTAAAGAATATGGTTCTTTTATATGCTACTCTCACAAATGTATTCAAAATGCTAATAGAAGACTTTGAGAGGTCCATTTCCCATTGTGAGGATTATGATAAGAACCAAGTATTTTCTGCTCTGACATTCTGAAAGTGGGCTTAATTTCTTTAGACTGAAACTTCCCATGCATGTGTACATTTTAGCTTTAAGTTTGTACCATCATCTGGATAATTCTGTCATCCTTACTGAAATATTTGATATCCTCCGGTTGATTTTGAGATCTGTTTTCACTGTCTCAGAGTGAAGAGGAGTTAACTTACGTGGGTGCAGCTGGGTGTGCAGCACCTGCTCCAGGTCCCCTAACATGGTGAGGATCACCTCCTTATCCAGCTGAGCAGTTCCCTCTCGAGGACCTCCCTCTGAAACCTCCTCCTCTGCCCAGTACCCACCGTCCTTCCCCTTCTCTCCCAGCTTCCCACCTCCCCTGTTTGCTCCCGGCTCATCGCCAGGACATCCACCTCTGCCCTCTTCCTCCGTTGCTGACCCCTCCCTGGACCTCCGCTGGGGCTCGGTCCTTGGGTGGCCGCTGTAGGATGCCCGCTGTGGCCGCCCCCCTGCCGCTGTGCACCGCCACGGCACCGGGATGAGGGAATGCTCGGACTGGGAGAGCACCTTAGTGAGGGAAAGCGAAAGGGACCGGGCTCTGGTGCCTCTGGGGACGGCCTCTTTCTTGGGGCTCCCCTGGAGACTGCCTCCTGCCCTCTGTGGGGAGGCGGGGTACACGGCAGAGTTCGGATGTTGGGCAAGACGAGAAGGTGGCTGGTCCACTTCAAAAGAGTAGACCCGCTGCTCTCCATCGCTCAGCAGGGTCAGGTTGGTGAGCGAGCGCTGCTTGACCCGGAGGTTGAGGTTGTCGGGGAGAGGCTTGGGGGGCCGGCGGGCTGGGCTGCCTCCCTGGTACACCGAGAACTCCGCTCCCCTCTTCATCTCCGCTCAATGTGGTTTACCTCTTCACCACCGGAGACACGCAAGCGGATCCACCTGTGAGCCGCTCTCTGTTTCACATGTTGGCCGCACAGTCACCAAGTGTGCAGATGGAGGGGGAGAAGAGCTGAAGAACAGGGGAGGTAAAGACCAGGGTCCCCACGCTCCACGCCTCCCGACTGAGGTGCGAGCTTCTGTGGGCTGAAGGGAGAGCACGCACGGGGCGAGGAATAGAGAGAAAAGCTCCCTCTCAGGCACGCAGGTAAAATCCGGATCCATTCTGCAGCCGGCCCATGCTCGTGGTCAGACACTGAGCCAGACGCAGACACTTATTCCGTCCACTCCGTCCCCTGCCCGCATGCCGTCTCTCTATCTTCTCTCTCTTGCTTCAGCAGTCAGGGGCGTGGATGAACGAACGAGCCGCTACATCTCTCTCCCCCCTCTCCTGCGCTCACACTCTCTTTATCTTCTCCCCCTATTAAATGACAGTCTCTTTTCATCCACTCTTATCGGTTTCCCTCCACCTTCTGTCTCTTCCTTTAATTACCGCCTCGCTGGCGCGGTTCTCCAGCCTCCCCTCTGACACCGGCGGTGCCTCTGTGCGAGTGGAGAGGAGTGGAGCCGGAGAAGGCGCTCAGCCTGCCTGTGCATTCCATCGTGCAGCCAGCAGTTTTCTCTCTGCCTCTCTCGCTCAGCCCCCTCCGTGTTTATCACCCGCTCGTTCTCTTGATCCCTCTTACTTTCGTCTTCTGCTCACTTCCTTCAAGCCTTTATCTTTCCTCCCCTCGCGCTCTCCCTCTGTCTCTCGGAGTCTCTCCATCTCTCCGTCACAGGGTGACGGTGAGCTTTTTGGACAGTGCACCTGTACGCTTGCAGCCCCCCCGCTGCAGCGCTATTCCTGCCCGACTTAATTAAATGCTGCCTTGAGAAGCTAAACCAGTGATCCCTGCAGCTTATCGTGGATCAACAACCAGACCGCAGAGCTAACATATTCCCATCAATCAGTGCACACATTATTAGCCCCGTCTCTGTTGGTCCAGCCTGACTTCCACACATTCTCTCACCCTGGTTACCACCTGCTGGGAGCCATTGGAAGCAGTCACCTTAGACAATGAAATAAAGGTGGACCTCATCTTGGGTTTATACAGCGGATCACTGATTTACATATTTTTCATATTAACCGACAATCCTTTAGAGTTAACCTTCAGTTGTTCTCTCCTCTAATCTCTGTTTAACAAAAGCATAAAATGATTTTACATAGATCTTCTGTTTTTTTACATTATTCTCATCTATGTATGCAAACCGAGTAGGCTTGTCATGTGGTAAGTGTGGTGCTCCTTCTCTTGAACTTTCCTCAGATACTCATTTCTGCTGCTGAATGGCGGAAGAGTCGGAAGGACGAAGGATGTGAAACAACCATGAAATGTGTGACAACAAAAAGCGTGTGTTTGTAATGGAGCCCAAACAAAGAGAGTGGTCAGTGCTGCAGTCTAATTTTATCCTTGAAATGACAGGCTTTGAAAAAGCCACGGCCAAAGCAAAATGTGTGGAATGTCGCTGTCGACCTGACATTCCCAAACCTATAATCACAAGCTGTTGTTTGTGCTCGCCGTGCTTTGTAGTTTTTCTGGTTTTCAGCTTGACATCTTAGTTTCCAGTCAGTCTAGTTTAATTGATTTTTTATCCCAAAACTTTTTTCTACTATAACTGAGGAGTTTAAATCCAAAATATGGCATTTCTATGCGAATCCACTGACCTGTTCACCTAAAATATCAGAGCAGGAAAAAAAATGGTAGGGTCCTTAAACACAAAATAACCTTGTACAGAAGTTGCATCTTAATAGGAACGGAGCACTTTCTACCACAGATATCCCTAATAATATTTAATCAGCAAAGTGATATTTCAATTGACAAAAGAGTTAAATAAGTGCAAAAGTAAACTCTTAATTTAATGGTGGTAAAGTCCAGTTGTTTATTTGATAAGTGCCGAAGTTTTTCTTTCTAACCCTGTTTCAGCAGATTTAACCAACAATCCTGTAATTTATTACAAATCTAAAGTGGAGGTAAGAAACTATTTAAACCAAACAAATATACCTCAATCCTGAATTTTCAGTCGCAGGGAATCAATGGAAAGGATTTCCTATTAATAGCAACTAGGGTCCAGGAAATCCATTTGAAGACTGAAAAAAGATTTGACCAGTTCCTGCTCACAACCTTGCAGGGAACCACTCTCCATTTTTTAGTGATATAACATATTTCCTAAAAAAAAAACCCATAATATCTTTGTTGTTACAGGCTTAATATTCCTTATTTGCCCAGTTTTAGAATGTCTATTTAAAGTTTAATAACAGCCTGATTTGAGTCATGACCCTGTAGATATGATTGATAAACATTTCATAAATTTATTTGGAAAAGGCCTCTTTCAGCGGAGAAAAAAATAATGAATTATATTAATGATAGTGTCTAGGTGATGATGCAGCTCTAGGATCGTGACAGATGATAGGAGCCTCCAGGGGATGTAAACACACAGGCACGCATGCCCCCTGTATCCAGCTATCAGTGCTGACCTTTTGCTTCACTACATGAAACCAGTTAGGATCAGGGATCCCCTACGTTACCAAAAATAGATTTGTTGGAATTCAGACACAGTCACATACACCAGAAACCAACTGGAATATTGTGTTTCCTATAGCAGCGGTCTTCAACATCTCCTCATGCTGCTTAATCCCGAATCGGACAGAGAAAACATTCTTCTCTGCCAAAATGACTAAGAGCCGATTCCTTCCTTTTGACAACAGTATCCATCCAGTCTTTCTTCTTAACGGAGACAATACACTTTGACCAGTTCCTTTCCAGCTGAACTGCATCAGCACCACAGCTGCTTTAAAGTCAACATTGAATAAATATAGATTCAGAACAGAATTACATAAGCAATATTACAAAGGATAAATGTTAATGCATACATTCATGTGTACATTTCAACACCCACACAGAGAAGGAAGATCTTTGTCTGTGTGTGTGTGTGTGTGTGTGTGTGTGTGTGTGTGTGTGTGTGTGGACCTGCTGTACCTGATATCTCCTCCAGGCACTGTTTGGCTGTCTTGCTGTAGACTAGTTCTCCCTTAGTGGGACTGAGGCAGGGGTCGACAGGGGCCACCATGGTGCAGTCATTTTCTGAGAATGTCCTACAGGCACAAATAACAAATATTACCCAGTTACAAGGATGTAATGAATGAAATATACTTCCAGTCGTAATTGGTAAAAGCCGCTTCAATCTTATATTCATTATGTGGTTATCTCATGATGTAAAACATCATAAAATAGACACTGGTACACAAAAAGATGCAAACTAAACATTTGAAAATGACAGAATAATGTACCGTAATGTAACTCTACAAAGTAACAAATGGTTATAAAGGCTAAAAAACAAGCAAATCCACCCAGGTTTGAGGACAACCTACTTAAAAGCAGTCACTTCCACGCACACACACACACACACACACACACACACGCACATACACTCCAGAGACCATAATCACCACCCGCAGAGCTGCAGATAAGACCTGGCTGCCAAATGCAAGTGCATCACCATCCTGTAACTTCTGCTGATACTGTATGAAGGCCTTTTTGTATTTCTTTTAGTTTTCTTCCCTCTCTGCACCTTGTACATTTTGCACAGAAAAAGTCAGATGTTCTTAATACCAAACAGCTGCTCGGGCCAGAATGAACCCAAAATCGGAGACTGACTATGTAGAATATAAATGGCAGCTGCAGGAATAATGAATTATTAATCCAATATTTAATCTGTTATACTGTCAAAATGAATATTTACTGCTTGTGGTGTTCTTAAATTGTGACATCTGCAGATTAAACCAAGGGGAAGAGCACCACACTGCCACCAACACTGACAGGTATTATGTGGGAGCTAAATGCTGCAAAACAGATTTCACACATCCTTTATGCATTACTGTGGTGTTTCTCTAATTCCCGGTTGACACAACTGACAAGGTCAGCTTGAAATGCTTAAAACATCTCCGTGTATGCTATGTGTCTGAGTGTATGAAGATGGATGGGGGAAATCAATGCTGCATACTAAGTGAAGCAAATGTACACAGGCAAGCCTGTTAGGTTTGGGAGACACTCCAACTTAAAGTGGGCGGAGGAAGACAAACCAAACAAGACAAAAATGCTTAATTGGGCAAAAACATGATTAGCAAGGTGCACAGTGAGAACCTTCACACTTACTGAATGCAAGCTGACAGCCTCTGTTCGCAATGAGGAACATTTATAGAAAGAGGAGAGGAGGACGACAGAAACTGTGGAAATATCCTGAAAGATGAATTTTGGAACACAGCAAAATGGAAGAGGGGAGATGGGAGCCTTAAGTGCCCCTCATGAGACAAAACTTTAATCCAACACATTGGGGATTAGTTTAATGGTTTATCAAATGGATGGAAATGTGTGACAAATGCCTGTTTGAATGAGCTATTTCCAGGTTTATATCCGAATTTCAAAGTGTGAAAAAACAATCAAATAATTTTCAAGAAAACCACCCATAATGTTAGTACACCAGGGCAAGCAAAAAGGAACTTAGCTTAAAGCTTAGTGTGAATGACCAAGTCCTACATTGACTGGCAGCATTTATGCAGGATGCTAGCTTACGTCAGATTGTACCAGCTGTCCTTTTTTAGGGAGACTTACTTCATAAATACCCAACACCATCTATTCAGACGAGACAGTTCCAGGTAGTTAGAAATATTACTAATAAAGCTTTGTGTGGCAAAGCTGACTGTGCACAATGTGGAGGTAGCTGGAGGCTGTGAGGGGTGAAAGATTAGGTTTTTGTTGAGGTGGATTTCTAACTCCCTTCCTCTCAAAGCACAAAAACATCACAGAGACTGTGGTGGCTTGTCTTTTTTTTTTTTTGCAGTCATTGCCTGCACCTCTGATTTCTGAAGCGTTAGGGATGCACATGCCAGCGTTACACATCACAACAGCTCTGTCTGCATAAAGAGAAGGGGAATGGGTTTCTGAGCACTGCCAGTGTCTGGATTCTTACATCAAGGGGTGAAAACCAGACATTCAAATAATAGGCTTTGGCAAGAAGCAGGCAGATGATGTTCATTTGTTCAGTAATGACCGTGCAGACAGGAGGAGGCGAGAGCACAGTGGGGAGCTCCGGCTGATCACTGGGAGAACTCCAAGATTTCAAAGGGTGTGTATGAGTGACAGTGTGCTGGTCGGCGTGAACGTCTTCAGTGAGTCAGAAAAAATAGGTTGACAATGACCTTCCAGGGACAATTAACGGTGAAAAAAAGCAAAGCGATACCTCGGCTGCTTTATTCTGGGCGCTCACAGAGACCTCACCTGTACATGAAGGGCGCCACGGTGGCGGTGTTGGGGTGGTTGTGCTGCTGCTGCTGGGGAAGCTGGACCACTCCGTTCCCCCCCAGCGCCGCCCCTCCTCCTCCCATGGTTCCACTGGACCCCGACAGGGCTGAGGTGCTAGTCGATGAGGTCATGCTGGTCCTTTTGCTCTCAGAGCCACCGGCGGGGCGCTGGATGTAAAAACTCCCTCCTTGGCCTCCTTTGGTCAGCTTGGCTCTTTCTCCCTCTCCTGCCCTCATGTTGCCACTGTTGTTTAAGGTGGCCTGGTTCTGCATCTGGGACTGGCTCTGAGGTTTTGCTGATGTCGTGGAGGGAGCTTTCAGTCCTGGTTTTGGGATGCCGCTCAAAGCCGAAGCGGTTCCGCCGTCTTTTTTCCCCGACGAGGATTTCCCTCCTTTCGGTATAAGGCTGGCTATTTTGGAGCTTTTTTTGGTGGAGTCTGCAAAGACCTCACGCTCCTCTTTAGCAGGAGAGTTGTCCTTGGAAGGTTTCCCGGACTTGCCTCTGTCTTCTTTGTCTTTGCCGGAGGCCACAGATTTGCTGCCGCACGCAGAGGCCTTTGGGTATGACGAGGAAGTGGACGGAGACGAGGTTTTGTTGGCTGCAGTGGCGGATGATGCGGGGGTCTTTGTGGGGACTTGTTTGGCCGTAGCACTGCTACTACCACTGCTGCACACCGAGCCTGTGGGTGTCAGTCCCTCCTCTCCATACTCCGAAAGATCATCTTCCTCCTGCAGCGCCATTTCTGCCATAGATGGCGATGCCCTCGAGGCCGAGCGAGGGTTAATTAGGCGGAACTTCTCCAGCATTGACCTCTGGGGGGGATTGACGCCTGACCCGAATTTTGACCCTTCGCCCCCGTGGGACAGAAGGCCTTCCTGAGCCTGGGGCGAGGGAGTGGTGGACGGGGAGTGTGTAGGGCTGGCCAGCATGGATGAAGTTGCGCTGTGCTTCAGGTTCATGGACTTGCTGCGCCAGGTCTTGCCGGCTGAGGGTGAAGGGATGGCAGAGGCCAGCTGCTGCCCACTGAGGCTGGTGGGAACCATCCCACCAGGCCCACTCCCGTTCATCCCACCGGGCACTGGGATGCCCCTCACCGCCTCTGAACAAAGAGAAAGGACAACCATGATTACCGATAGAATGGAAAGTAGTTTTCCAAAGTGTCTGCCCAATTCTAATAACAGGTAAACTGATAAAAACTAACCACCTTGGACAAAACACTGATGAAAGGCGGTTTACACCTGATGATCCCAATGAGAAACTGGTCAGCACTGCTCACTGGTTTAAATAACGATCAAGGTGTAAGTGTCTAAATGAGAATATTCACTGAGTCTTGTCTATTTGTTTGTGGCACAAGTTTCTTGTGTTTACTTCGAATATGTTGAAATATGTCTGTGTAATTTGGTATATTAGATCACCATCAGATCATCATATTTTTCTCTAAAATGTTTTATCATGATTGTTTGTTTCGGTATGATATCTATTTTTCTCATTTTTATAAAGTCATAGTTATTCTTATTCTGGCAGGAATATAGATTTACTGAGTTTGTTTAACAAGAGAAACCAAATCAGAATGCGGTCATCATCCATTGCTCTATGGTTTTCAATATTCAACTCAAAAGTCCAGTTAAAAAAAGGAAAACTTTCATACTGTTCCATTGGTGTGTTCCGTGGAAAAAAAGGGTGTCTTTCAACAAAACACCATCAGAAGCTTTGTTAAATAAATATATCATATCTTATACTCCGAATGAAATCCCCTGATCTAAAAAATGAAAAAAAAAGAATTAAAAGAATTTGCAATGTATTTTTATGATCTATCTATAAACTTCTCAGAGAGATTATCTTATCTGAAAACACTTAGTTACCCTTCTGACTACAAATAAAATGGAGAGGGAGCAGTAAAAACATGAACTAGGAAAATTGAAGATCCAACAGAGTGACAATATAAGTCATGCACCATTAGACTGAGAGGTTTTTTCTGGCTGTCACTGGCATCAGGAGCTGGGCTCAGCTGGCTGTGAGTCACCTCAGCTCAGTCCTTCAGGCAGGCAGAGGTGGGACCGAGACAATTAAACCAACGTACGCCTCTGAAAACATCTTTGAAAAACGTGGCTACAACATATTAAATTATGTAAATCTTTCTAGGCATAGAGCTGTAAAATGTTCCAGAGAAGCTGGGCTTCGAAAACATAAAACGCTAAAGTAACCGCGCACAGGTTTGTTGAACAGATGTGTTTAAATCTTAAAACCGGGAGTTGATTGAGCAAATCATGTACTGTCTGTAATGATAAATAATGTAATGAAGTACATTGGAATATATAGTGACATTAACAACTTGAAAACTAAAACAATGATTTAACCAATGAAATCCATTTAGCGTGTCTAAACTACTTCTCATTTATCCTCACTTACACTTTAGATAGCTCATAAGTGTGTTATTATTTGAATTTTGACTCTTTGAGGGTTTACAATGACGAGACACCAGTCTAAATGTAAATGGAATAGAATATTGTGTTTCCACACGTACTGTGCGTATGCATGTGTCCTCTATTTGACCCAATCCTTCAGGTTAATCGCAGTTTTTTAAACCGTTTCTGGATGTGAATCAGAGAGATGTGCGTCTCCCTGTGCATGCATGTGTATGTCCCTGTGTCCAGTCAATTAACCCTGTCTTCAGAGATCCTCCATCCCTCCTCTGACCCCACCCTAGAGGCTGTTTGCAGGCCACCACACTTATCTCCGTGCAGTGACTAGGTGTTGCCATAGCAACAGACTCTTCCTTTCTTTTTTGCCTCAGCTGCCAAGGAATGAAATGCCACTTCTGGGCGGTGGTGGACCCTCTACCAACAAAATACAAGCCAGCACACAATATTTTCAGCAGACACGCTAATGCCAGGGTTTAACAAACTGGTTGTCTTTTCAGCTAAACTGTTGATAACCTACAGCTCGGTTTGAGTTTGGTTTTCTTCTAATATTTAGCTGCTCACAACATCATCAGTATCATACAGATAAAAATACCACACTCCTCTTGTTGCATGAATTCAGCAGCTTCCAAACTGAGCCTGAAGCTCCACAAACACCTGTGGCTGCATAGCTGACATTTCACAACAATTGATTTTTCTTTTTCTTTTTGTCTTCTTATTTTCGACCGTAGTACTGTTTCATCCTGCCTGCAGTGAAGCCCCGGAGACTTGAGTCTTATCTCTGCAAACTGAGAGTTTGTCTTATGGCACGACTCAACTGTTTTTTATGTGAATCAGTAAAAAAAAGACAGATCTGCCTGTTTTTACGAACACACTGAAAACACTGAAACATCTTTCTAATTGTTTTTTCATATTTAGTTATCCTTTCTCTCCCATCCACTCACTTTAATTTGCCTTTTTTTTTTAATGAACCTCTTTTCTTAGTCAGTTTGCCTTAAAAGGGTCAGTGATGTAAACTTGATAGATTGAATGAATTGATGCAAAAGAAAGGCATAGAAACTATTTCAGTGTTTCTCTGATAACATTTTCTCCACCGCAATCAGCTGCTGAACCACATTTAATGAGAATGTGTTTGATTTATAACACGGGTTAGAAATTTGAAATATTAAATGATATTTAATGATTCTTTCATCAAAAATACAATAATAGTTTTGAGTTCTAAAATGATATAATCACAACATTTTTTTTAAGATTATCAAAACTGTATGAATCATAAATGAAAAAATGAGTCATTAGAGAACAACTATTTAATCAAACAATTATTAAATTATAGATCTGTTCTGTTTGCAGCAGACTGAAAGACATTTGGATGATTTGGAATCACTTATTTGATGCTAAACGAGGTTACAACACACTTTAAGTGTATTCCATACAGGGCTCAATCCCATTCAATATCTCGGTTGTGTTTGATGGAGCAGCTGCCTGAATTTGCCCTCAGGCCTGTGAAATGTTTCCACCGCCTCCTCTTAATGTGATCATTATAACTCACTTGGAATAAAGAGCTGGGGATGATTCAGCAGACTGTTTAAGACTGCTGAAGTGATGGAGTGGGCTCCACTGCAGCCCAGACCTTTTCTGTTTGAGCTTTTCTGTGTGAGGGCTGCCATCAAGTGGCGGGGAGAGAGAACATGCCTCTACAATGAAATGCTGCAATGTTTCCAGCTTCTGGAAGTATCCATTCAGTTGAATATTAGTCTGTGTATTACGTCTTACCTCTATCATTGCCACTTGCATACTGTAGAGGCTTGCTCTTGTCGATGCTGTTGAAACTCTGGCTCCGGCGGTTCAGGTTGGAGGAGCCTGGGCTCCTGGAGGCCCCACTGCCTGCAGCAGGTACTCTGGAGGGTCCTGGTAATCTGCAAAATTCAACGTGCACGAGAATATTAGAATATAAAAATGGCAATCATAATAGTGATTGCAAATCAAAATGGCGAGAAACAACCGTCAGATCTAGTGTTTGGTATGGACTCCCATGGATGGGTAATTATTTCTATGTGATCATCTTCCATAGTGGCCTTGGACTCAATTTCTCTCAGTGTGTGTCAGAGTGTGCTGTGTGAAGAAGTGTGTATCCTCCTGTGGACTGAGGAGTAAGGATAAAAGAACAGGAGAAAGCTTGGCGGTCTGCCTCAAGAGTGCCATAAAGAAAGCAGAAAATAGAGGAAAAATGAAGGTTCCTCTTGTTGTGAGGACAGCCATTCTCAAACTTTTTGTTCTTGAACTCATGTAGATAAATCAAAGCGTGAAGACACACCAGCCAACGCGTTTGTTGCTGCCAGTCACATGTTGATTTGTTTTGCTGCAGCTGGAGATTTCCGAGACTCCAAGAAGAGGCTTACACAAATAGCCAAATCAGAACCCTGCAGTTATTGTTCAATAATGCAGAAAATCATGGACTCCACCAGATGTTTTTCATTCATCTTTCCAGCAGATTCAGTTATCATGTGAGGACATATGACAACCTACATTCTGGTTGAACTTGAAACACTTAATATACTTTAGGATTATGCCAATTAAATAATCATAAACGCTAAAGTTTGTTACTTAGAGCTTCATCCATTTTGAAAACTTGTGAAAAATTTGTCTTGACGGAAAACTTGATTGGCCTTTTTTTTTTAGACAAAAATACAGAAATAACCACAGAAGTCACAGCACACAGTTTTTAAGGCCAACATGCTCTCTGTTCTTTCTTTAAAATGACATTTGTAGGACAACCTCCGACTTTGTCAGGCACAGCATGAATAAAATAAATTGGGCTTTAGGTCTCAGGGCTTTTCAAAGAAACTCAAAATCGGGTGCACTTAAAACAACAAAAAAACAGTATTCAATTCAAACTCAGCACTTCTGTTATGTGCACGTCAACAAGATGCAAAATTCAAGTTAGCTTGGAGGTCTCTCTCAGAAAAATAGAGCACCAATCAAGCAACCTGCACACCAGGAATTCAGAGCAAATCTGTCTTATAAGTCAAGTCATGTGCTGACAGATGCAAGGACAACTTTTCAAACACAATGACTGTTTCACTGAGCAGGAAACGTGTCACTCTCTTTCTCCTGTTCATTTACAGCGACTGCAACAGCAGAATCTTTAGAGATGCTGATCCAGGTCTCAGGGCCTCTCTGGTAGTCTGCCTGAACGAACACATCGAGCCATGGCCAGAAGTGGTCATCAGGCCGGAGCTGAACCAGATGGAGGAGCACTGCGCAGCAGGCATAGATTTATGCCGAGTCAGGGAGGGGGGATGAGACTGCATTTAAATTCTGCAGAATGTTTCAATGCTGATAGTCAAGATGTAAAAACACTCAGAGAGCCTCATTTGCATGCATTCACAGGTGAATGTTCTGCTGCAGAGTTTCAGGCTTTTAATAAACTCTCACAACAAATTATGAAATGGACAAGGACTAAAACAAAGACAAGTCAGAAAATTACAAAGATTGAAGGGGCTTAGATGGAAATCAGAGCAACTCCTTTTTTGTCGTGAAATTCTAGCATCTTTATAAATACAGGTGTGATCACGAGTCAGCTAAACCCTTCTAAAGGTTGTTGAGCCGTGCACAGGAATACTGATGCTGTGCTTATTTGAATCAGGTGGTTTGAAGCAGGGAAACTTCTAAAATGTATATACAGATGCTGCCACGGACACCATTGTGGTCTAATATCAACACTCTGTCACATGTCCCTCAAAGACTAACAGTACAGAAACCCCCCCACAGAACCTCTATTACATTTGAGAAATATTCTTCATCAAGGACTATGCACAGTGTGTATATAACACACTTAATTCTTCCCACATTTAAGAATGTGTTTATGTCCTGCATTAGTATAACCAGTTTTTCATTGAGATTGAAGTGAGCTTATCAGGCAGAGTAAAAAAATGAAAATAACTGCATACACTCTAACATTTCATGAGTGATTTGTCTGTATCATGTACTTCTGTTATGTGGCTTGTTGTGATGGGTGTGTAAGGCCATATTAGGACTCTGGGACGGGGTGCAGCATTTTTGCCGTTGCTGTGCAGCGGCTGGCAAGAAGTGATCTGTTTATATTCTGGTTCCCAGAACAAATGCTGCAAGCACCACATAGTTAAACCGGGGTGTGTCCTAACGGTCAGCGTGAGTAGATTTCCCTGTGCACAGAGCTTTAAGTTCACACTTTTGAGTGTGAACTTAAAGTTTGATTATTTTACTTCACCTGAACCTTTAAATGATGCATTAAGAGTGAAGGAATGTTTCCATGACAGCCTCCTTCAGTCTCATCTTGACTTTATTGTGTCTTGTTCAAATTCTGAGAATCACATCCACACAGTAACTGCTGAACAGAGTTAGTTGATGATGCACAGTGAAACCTTGCAACTGTCACACTCCAGGTCACAGCATGACGGGGCGTTTTTAGTAAAGCGCTAGCATGTAAAGAGGGAATGGTGAGAACCTCAGAAAGAGGACGGTCCTACTCTGTGAGTCGCTGGTTCAAGCTGCCATGATTAAAAAGCTACACCCCGCTGAAGAATCCTGAAGCAAAGCGCTTAAACCGCGTCAGGTGTTGTCCACTTGACCCTGACTGTCGACCTCTGACCTCACCAGATCGATAATAGAAGATCAAGTGTCTCGAACAAATGTGACGGCACAGGTGCACAGAGTGCTGAATCAACATGCAAAACAGCAGAGGGAAGTTTGAGTTGAACACACGTAGTATTACCTTGTGTTTTTCTTCTGTGGTGACCCTATTCCACTGTGGCCTGGAGGACTTGCATATCGGGCGGTGAGACTGTGAACAAAGCAGAGGAGATCCTGTTAACACAGTTAGATCAGGAATGAGACCGGTGCCTTGCTGAAATTGTCTTAACCTCTTTCCAAATGCAATAATATGAGTGAGGGCAGCCGTTCACATGTAAGAGGAGCGAATGAAACAGAGCAGAGTGCCAGGTGAGAGAAAAAAGACACGCATGGGAAATACTGTGGTCAGGACACATTTCTGTGATTTTGCACATGATGCCTCAAACATGTTTGTAACCATAAGTGTATGACTAAACCATCAACACCTCTCAATCCATTTATACGCCTGCTGACGAAAAAACTGGCCCGATAAACTTTCACAAAGATTTTTGTGGTGGCATCAAAGCACACAACACACAAAGGCGGAGAAGACGGAAATGCTCGCTGCACCAGTAACCGTTAGTCACAGGAATTACTGTAATGTGGGCTGTTTCAGGACTCACGAAGCCAAACATCCATGAATAACATCTCCTGAGTCAAGAGGGGCAAGACTGCTGTGAGAAAAATGTAGATGACCTGAATGACTCCCAAAGCATGTGAGGATTTCTCACCTGTGTGAACTGAGCAAACCTTACTGGAAAATGAGCGCCTCTATCATCTATAGCCTGCACATGTTCTTATTTTGCTTAATTCCTACAGAAAAGCAGCTGTAGTGATGAAAAAGAACGAAAAACTAACTTGAAGCTACCTTTCCATTCATAAGACTACACAAAATTGAAGAAACAAAACCTTACGAGTCCAACTGTAGCCCCAGAAGCAAACTTTTCCACACAGTTCCCAATCATTCCTGTTCTCAAAAGAACAGGAAAGGAAAGGCAGAGTTCTAGGAAAGATATATGGTGCTGAAAAATAAATCAGCTGGCGGAGCAGCTAATTAACTTATTAGGTTTGGTAGCAACAGGCCTGTAATGTGATTGAGTCCAAGAGGAGCATTCAAGAGAAGCTGTGTCTCCTGTGAGGTTGCACACATGTTCCCAGTCTTAGACACACAGCAGGGGCACAGGGCTTAATACCATAATCACTTTTCAATGGAAAATTGAAAAAAATAAGAAGAAATCCCAGAGTTGATCACCTGTGGTCCAGTGTGTATAATATTTGCAAAAGTTAAATAGAACGCCAAGCAGCAGAAAACAGACGAAACTCCAGTGGAATTCTCTGCACTGGCTCAGAGACTCAGAGCTCCCAAGTGTGAAAGTCTCACAATTGACACTTTTTACATGCTCTCATGCGTCGCATTGATTTTCTCACGCGACGAAAGTCAAATTCCGAACTTTTACTGTTGCAAATAGAGGAACACCCGCCACTGATTTGCTGTCTGAGCTGCTCCATCACAGGCTGGGGTCTGCTGGCTCCTGAATAGTGTTGCCATTGTGTTGTATCACAATAGACTGAGTGAGCAAACATTGCTGATGTGGGCAGTGATAGATGAAAATGTTGCTAAAATCACTGCACCGATGATATCTGTAACATTTGTGGACGGTGTTTCACAAACGCCTTACGATGAGCCTTCCACCTGTGTAACAAATCTGCCATCAGATCCATTAAGATGCTCTTTAAAAACAACATTTTTAAGCCTCCAAAAACAGCAAATATACTTCAAGCTGTCTCATAACTTGATTTTTCTTCTAATTTGGCTGCAGCTGACACAGGATTTAATTTTGAAGATACAGACATACTTAGATAGATACTTTTAGCTCTGTTAAATAACTTGTAGAAGAAAAAAACAAAAAAACATTTGACAATAATAGAATCCTGTAAACTCACCAAAAAGATGAATTTGATCTTGCACAGGTAACTAAAAGAACTCCCTCAGAGGCACTCTTTCTCTTTCCTGACTCAAGTCACGAACAGTCTAAAACATGAAGCATAACGTAATAACTGCTGACTCAGAACATCAGCTCTCAGCAGCTGAACAGGTACCGAAACGGTCCTTTTCCTGTCAGTTCCTCTCAGATGGAACCACAGGGAAGTCCAGTGAGAGGTCTGGTGCTGAAACCGTCTCACTCCTCTTAAAAGGAGCACAGAGAGCTGCTCTGCTGTGCTCGAGCTGGACGACAGAGGAAGCAGCAAAAAACCAGCGGACGGCATAGATGTCCTTTATTTTCTGACAATGAGGAACAAGTTGTTCTCTGTTTTGTGTTTGGGAGCTGCTGGTTATGTGAAAAAGACAGACAATAAACTACCTATGCAGTTGACTGAATGACGCACTGCACTCATCACATCTAATTATCTTGCTCTACTACTTTCAGTGTATTTATTTAATTGAAATTCTTCATTTACATGCTCATAGTTCAGTCATAAAGAGATCTAATGTGACTAAAAACTACATGTTATTTAAATGAAAAACATTGTTTGGACTTGGGAAAGGACATAGAGCAGGAGTTTTGTTATGTAAAGATTTTTTCCTGATGAATTTACTGTTCTACTGTGTGATTTATATGTGTAAACTTTACATGTCTTTAGATTCTCTCCCTATCTGACTCACAGATAATCTCTGTTCGCTTCCTTGATCACACCTATACATAATTAAACACCTTGCAAGATTTCTTTAAAGATCTGAAGTCGAGAGCAGAATGCAATTAAATGGATGTGCAGCACAGTTTATAACAAAGATGTCGGTCAATGGTGTATGACAAAATGAATGCACCCTAATGCATTAAAATACCAAACTATACTATAATCTGAACTCCCAGAAGTAAACTGTCTGTTCTAAGGAATTCTTAGAAAACAGAGTAGAAAAATTCTGACTGACGTCTTCTCTTAGCATTTTTAAGTCCAACTTAAATCTGTCTAATATAGCTTATATTACTTTACTTTCTCCCTATTTACTTTGCTTTTATTAATAATTTGTGCATAGATGTAAGAAGACAGCAGTAAGCATGAAGAGGGTGATCTTAAAGGCAGCAATTTTCTGAAGTTTAGCATACAACTGAATTTCCACAGTTTGTACAGCTCACAGTAATATGAAAGCATGATTATTATAAAAATAGGGGTGTTGCTATGAACAAACTTACTGTTGGCTGCTTTATTTAATAACTAAAGATATAAGGAGACATGACTGCAACAACCCATTCCCCAGCCTGGGCAGCTCATCCAAGCCACAAACTCTAAGATCTTTCCTGCTTGGAAAAAGAAACACCAGAACATGCGAGGGTCTGGTCTTGAAATAGAGATAGGGTGGTGAAGAATAGTGGAAGAAGTAAGAATCTGTCACTTTTGATAGAATACAACATGCATCAACGAGAGCTCTGTTTAATCGCCCACGACACTGCAGCACACACGCAGACCACTCTGGATGCCTTCACTGTCCCACTAAATGTTAATAATATGCATTTCAGCGCAATCATGCCCACAGCCCGACAAAAACTGATGGGTTTCAGATCCGTGACGACACTGAAGTGGGCATGATGACAGCAGGTAATAAGATGTCATCTGATCCTTAAATCAAAATGTGGATCTTTCCGAGCAGGACTTTGAAAGCAATGTGAGGCTCGTACGAGGCTTTTTCCTCCGCTCAGACACACATGACCCCTGACTCATTTCCACACACAACCGACTCAGTATCGACCTTACAGTAAGCAGGTTATGCAATTCAAAAGCAGCGTGCTGCAGGTAGTTAGTTAAATTGCATCAGTCCTTCAGTACCAGCACGTAAACAGGCTGTGTACCCAGAGGGGGGGGGGGGGCTGTGGGTTTAGTGTGAACACCATGGTTATCTGTGGCTTTATCATTCTACTTTTCATGTAAAAATGTTTTTTTTTGCTCCCAATTAAAAACACATTTTAAAAGCCCATTAAATCATAAATGCAGTGTAAGGTATGGCCTATATTGTGGAGTGCAACATTTATAAGGAATTATCAGCGGATTTCTTGATAACAGAGCTCCACAAAGATGAACTATTCTTTTGTTAAGAATCTAAACAGAGATTCCAGTTGTATTACAACACTCCAGACCAACACACAAGTACAACCGAGGCATTTACCAGTTCATGATGCCAGAGACACTTATTCCATCCTCTGATCCAAACTCTGTTTCCCTGACCCACATACACCCTCAGCACGCTCTGACTCTACCTATGAGACGGCTCCGTCTTGGCCACGCTGTTAGCTCTCCCGTATGGCAAACGACTCTTCCTGTCGCGAGACACGGCGGTGGGCAGGCGTGAGGAGCGCCACACCAAGGGGTCAGCCTGTTCGCCACTGGACATGATGAATTAAAGAGGGAGGGTTGGCTGTGCCCGGCCAGGCCTGGGCCCCCCTGCCTTCTAGAGCACTGAGTCTGTCCCGTGGCTCCGGGCTGTCGCGCTCTGTCCAATGGGGAGTTCCCCTTTCACACACACTCACTCACTGACACACACGTCTCATCCACTGCCCCGGAGACATCAGTGAGACCAGCAGGTGCTGTCTATAGAAAGCCCTCCATACCCCGACTCTGCATGTGGAGAAGGCACGGAGTGAACCAGTGGATCTGTTTGTGTAATCTGCAGGAGAGATCATTTAAGTGACAAACTGCCAAATATTTTCATCTCAAGCATGCAGTTGTCTGGCTTATCTTTATTTTTCCCATTAGTCAGGCAAGCTAAAGCATAGGGTAACTAATCAAGCTGGGAAATTAGAATGAAAGAGATATGAGCCGATTTAATTACATTTCAATATTTCCAATTTGCAGGAAGTGGCCATAGGATGCTCAGCTCGGTGGTTATGAAACCTCACGGGAAAGAAAATGATTGCCGATAAACTCAGACTTTGTCAGGTAGAAAAGGTACGGCGGACTTCTAAAAATGCCTTGTATGTCTTATACGGGTTTAAAAATGACAAGCTTGATACCACAATTTCTGGCACAATCTCCATTAAATGACATAACTGCTATTTCGGTTGTAGAATGCTACCACAATAATTCCTTTCCAAAAATATCTGAGAAGCACTACAGCTTGTAGACATGATACTACATGTTGGATGAATGGATAAACACTTACTGAGCGGTTATATAAGATACACATAAGCCATGGTTCTATATTTATAACCCATTTCTATGGAAGATGTATGTGTTGCAGATTTAACTGCTTTAAAACATTTACTGATTATGTTTTATTTCTGTGATTTACTGCTTTCTTGTGGTTATAGTCTTTCTTTATTCTATGTGGGTCCAATTGGAAAATCAGCCAGATTCGAATCTTCAGCTTTGTCTGCCTTTAAAGACTGTACGTAAATCTGAGCTGGTTAGAGATTAAGAACAGGAAACTTCTTTCTTTTAATGCATCCTTTAATATATCCAGTCATTCTACATTAAGCTATGGAAGTTGATAAACCCAAAGTTTTGAAATGTTTTTCTGTGAACAAGTGACAAAACAAGCTAACATGAATAAAAAAATGTCCAGCATCTTCAGGCAATATGTCATAAAGTACCAAAAAGGAATGCAAAAAGGAAATTAATTCAGTCACATCACAGGATAGCAAATCATGTGTGTCTGCTGTGTGACCCACACACTCATCATCATGTGGCTCGCTCTTACTCCAACACACAGCTAACAGCTAACAGGAGCATGTCATGGTGACAGTGGCTTCTTACTTCTTTGGTTTCTAAACCAAATTCATTCTCCACACCTTGACATGGCTTGTCAGTGTGTAGAGGGAAGCAGAAGAGCCGAGTGTCCCTAAAAACCCGCAGATTAATGACTTACTTTATCACAGACAGACATGGAGTGGAGCCCTGACCTCCGCTGTGGCCTTGAGCAATCAGACGTGATTAATAGTCCAGAGAGAGACAATGAGACCAGAAGGGCTACGTGGAAATGGACTGAGGCTCTTCACAGAGAATTTGAATCAAACTCATACATTCCTGCTCCTCAGACATCTTCCAGACACATGGCGCATGGACAAAAAGGCACACTGCTGAGAAGTCTCGGTTTATAAACTTACAGAGAGTGTGTGATTGAGTTTTTCTCCATTGGCGTTGCACTGCAATGAGAGATAACATGTGTTTTGTGCACCCTGAACACTGATGAGAGTGAATGAGCATTGTCCACCTGTTGTGAGGTATTGAGGGTGGGCTGGGGGGTGGGGGGGGATGGGGGGTGTAATGAAAGGCAGCTGTGCCCCTTATAACCCCGACACACATTTGAATGCTCGATACACAGCCACCGCCTCCTTACTTGTCCAAACACAGTAAAGCCAAACATCTTGAATATATCATCTTACTCACATGCCCACTCCTCAAGTGCTGAGACTAACTGCACTTACCGCGCTGATTTCATGGACACACACCAACACACACACACAGTGGCGGGCAGTGCAGCAACTCGATCTGGTCAGTGGGAATGTTGCTCATGCGTGGCATGTCAGACCTTCCTTTGGAGGCTTCTCTAAGGCCTACTCCGTCTATTTGCACCACGCAGGGACAGGCCCTTTTTACTTTTAGTGCCTGTGACTGCCCGCACCCTGTATGCCAACACCACCACTGTAAAACACTACTTACAGTCAGGTCAGTCAAAATTCACACAGCAGTTTCATATGCATTCACACAGGCACACTGACCCACAAAAACAGATGTATTTCCAAATAAAACAACTTTAAAAAAAACTTTTTTCTTTAGTCCAAGCATACGCTGGATTATGAGTTAAATGCTGGGTTATTTACAACTTTTAATTTCATCAACTGTAGAATAGAACCAGGTACAATTTCCATTCAGTGGCTTAAAGTAAGATTGCCTTTCTTGATAGCTGTAGATAGAAAGATGAGAAAGTGCTATGACTATCACCACCCAAAAGATCAAGAAGTAATTCAACATGGGACACGGATTTAATTAGAAATGTAGACCTCTGCTGCCATAAAACTTGTGACATCAAAACCTATATTGCTGATTCAGCACAATGTTAATCAGAAACATCTTCCCCAAAGATCCATTTATCTGCTTACAAAAGCTTTGAGTGTTTAAGCGTTCAAAAGCAATAAATCTATTGATATATAACAATGATTTAAAACAAGCGACACTGCCTTTTCTATAACTTCTAACAACCATCCATCCAGAGCCCCCCCCCCCCTGAATGCCCGCGCTTCCCACCTATCTCTGAGGGAGAGCCCAGCCACCCTACGGAGGAAACCCATTTTAGCCGCTTGTATCTCGTTCTTTCGGTCACTACCCAAAGATCATGACCATAGATGAGGGCAGGAACGTGGATCAAATAAATCGAGAAAGGTTCGCTGACAACCTTCTATCAACCTTCTGACCCAAATCCCATGGAAACCAGCACAAAGCAATTGTTACAAAACAATTTGGAGTAATAAAAACAGGATTTGTCCTGGTGCTATGATGATGGGCTCCTACCTGGACTGCATGTCTTGCGTCTTGAGGCTGCTGGTGGAGGCGGTGGTGCTGCTGGTGCTGCTGCTCTGCTGGCTGAGCTCCACCAGGGACTGGTAGTACTGCTGCTGCTGCTGCTGCTGCTGCTTGTAGCGCGACAGGATGAAGAAGAGACCAAGGATGCTTTTCAGGTTGCCATTCTTGATCTCTGGAGGGACAAAACAAAAGGAAAAAGTAGGTTACTTTATAGTTATTTAGTCCGTTCTTCTTTAAGTGGCTAGATGAATCCATACTCGTAGCTACATGAGGATGTCTACATCCTTACCCTCCATGTGCCCTCTGGTGTGGAACCAAAGCCTCATGGGACTAAAAAAAAAACTTTTGCAAGTGAAAGTGGTGGCTAAGTTGTTTTTCATTTGTGTTTGACTCAACCGGTGTCCTGTGACGCTTCAGATAAATATTTTCCAGACTGTGTATTGTGTCTTTCAAACACTATAAAGTGAGCATATGTTGACTTCTGAAAAGGCCCTCTTGGGAGGAGAGCTCAAGCGCAGCTGTTGTGCAGCAAACAGAGGACTCTATAAGAGCAATTATCCACAAGCTTTATCTGGTGTAGATTACAGATGTGCTGAGTGTGGCGTTGAAAGTTAGATGTATACAACTCAGCCACTTGACTGTATGTAGTGGGAAGTAAAACTTATACACACAGAGCAAATGATTTAAGACAGTGTTCGGGCTGTTTCGGAGCCAAACTCAAACATCTGCCTTCATAACTTAAGTCACAGCTGAGTTATTTAGGAGTGAGGCTTCAGAACATCTGAACTGGTGTATGGCTGGCAGAGGTCTGATGACCAAACGGCCAAAAATACAAAACAGTGCATATGGCTCTGTTTTTATCAGAAAATAAGGAAGTGGCAAGCAACTGTTGAAAACATTATTATTTCAAACTGGAAAAGATCAAAAGGTTTTAACATGTTCTAAGTTAATTGCCATGTTTCTGACATTGGGTATTATACCAATGGCTCTTTTTTGTGATAAAAACAGTTACAGTCATGAGAAGTGTTTCTCCACATGTGTGGTATTAACAGTAAATTGTGATTTTTGGAGTGTGACATTGACTTTCCTTTGGACAAGAAGGAAATGTTATTAAAAAGTTTGTTTTGAGAATGTTTAATGAGGGATTTCCATTTGCAGTACAGCAGAGAGTGGTGATCACCACTAAAGATAAATCACTCCAAATCTATTCATTTGAAAAAGAAACAGAAAGGGGGTAGCAGTAATGTTGGTAATAATGGTGAATTCATTTTTTCTTTCTAAGAACTGCATTGAAATAGAAATGTAAATGAGCAACTTATTCTGAAGTATAGATCTCTTCCTTAACATGTAGGAAAAAAACTGCATTTCTGCCAGATTCTTGCTTTAGGAGACGAGAAAAAACAGATCAGTATTGCACCCATTTGTAGAACGGACTTTTCATATTAAGCTCTGGGTGAAAGCTGGCAGGCAGAGGCAGGGCAAGGGTGGCAGCAGCTGACGCAGGGCTTTTTATTCTGGCTTTCAATCTGCTGAGGCAAAAACATCCTCCTCAGCCATCCATGGCTATGCCTACTGCGGCTAGGAAAGTTGGAGAAGATTAATCTCTTGGGGGTATTTTCCATTTTCTAAGGCCCAGGGGTGGTAATTTATACTGGGCCTTTGAGAGAACAGAAGCATTCTCTGTGCTTTAGTGAAAGACAGTGTTGCAGACGCACCCAAGCAGAATGCTAACAACTGACACTTCTAGAAAAGAGTGAAAGTGATGCTAGATAGTTGAAAACGTCATTCGTTAAGCCATACAAATTATACGCGTTTCACTAAACAAATGGACAGTGAATTTAGATTCTTTCTTATTCTAATCAACAGTTGTATCTTCTTAAAACCAACCAGAAAGTCACTTTCTGTTCTAATGGCAGCCAAGAAAACCACATGTCACAGTGTCTAACGTGCTCACAAAAACCTCTTCAGACAAACTAATAGAACCATAACATGCTCAGTACAATAATGACATAATGTGTAAAATTAGATGTATTGTATTATTGTACGGTTGTCAAAGCAATTTAAAAATCGGCTAATAAATGTGACATAACTGGGCTAATGACTTAATGGGATGATACTAAATTAGATAAGCACCCAGAGCTGCAGGAGCAGCGGACCTTCACCCAACACACACTTAGTTCATAGGTTTCTGTCTAGAAACAAAATCTCATTCATCAATTGGGACTTCAGGTAAAAAGTTGGAAAAAAAAATTAAATCAATGTAGTTTATTCAGCGGAGGAAAGTTTTTTTTTCTACCAGAAACTCACATCTTTACTCCAGTCTAGCATAAAAAATACGTGGCTCCAGACATGGAAATTTCAGGCACAGAAAAGAAGGAAATCTGAGTGCTTAGCAATTACTAACGGCATGGCTATAGTAACACCTTCAAACAGGGGATTGTTATTTGATGTTGTATTCATTTTTCACATTTTCTGTATTGAACTCAAACAGTCATAAACTCTAAAACATTATGGACTCCTTGATGTTCGTGAAAGGGTGTCAAATGGCACTAATGATTGCTCCATATCATATGTTGTTTTCCAAACCAATTCACGTCGTACGTAAAGCTTTTTTTCAGCCAGGAAGTTGAAGCAATGCATTAACTTTGAGCTTGAAGTCTTATTCTTACTCTCGGCCCCATGTTATGGTCACAGATCAATTGCATCCCCAACTGATTCAACGCAGATGAGTGTTTCAGGGACCTAATGAAATAAGAGCCGTAAAAAAAGAAAAAATCTATTACACCCACTGAGATCAAGGAAAACTGACTTTATTGTGGAGAGCAGGTCATATTCCAAGTTGTCCGCAAGTACTATAAACCATAAAGAGGCTGTTCTGAGAGGGTCTCAGTTCCAAAGCCCGTTCAGTGGAAAAGACTTTAATGATCTCCTGAATTCCCTCATTATCAGCAGCAGGAAGCGTGTGTTTCGGGCCTTTACACCTGCTTTTAAGGCTGAAAATGATGTACTACACTTCCTGTAGATAATTATCACATTTCAGGTAGTAAAACCTTTTATGTCATCAGTTTATTATATTTTGTGTGCAAAGTGTGAGGGTGAGTTTTAGTAGGTGGATGCGGAGGCAATTTCATGGAAATTCACCTAATACCATACCAGACAGAATTGTACAAAAAAAAGAAAGAAGAAAAGAAATATGAACCAACATGAAACACTGCTTGCCAGTTAAAACTAAATGTCTTTTTTTTTTTAAGCCATCCTCTGCAGACTGTGATCTCATTGTTTATTTTCTGTCGTCTATCTTAGTAAAAAACTTTGGTTCACATAAAAATTTAGACATCCTGCCTCACTTACTTTTCTTGAATTAAAAAAGCTTTGCTTTAATGTTATTATGGCTCATAACCTCCCTCAGCGGAAAAATCAATGGGGGAACAAATACACCCTTCA